TACCCGCAAAGGCACATGCATTCTATATATTTAATAGAATGTGCTATTGAAAAATGCATATGAATGAATTATGGACGCGACAATTGTCGTCGCATATGTAGTAAACTTTCAGCAGTAGGGTACAGTTTAAACAAGTCTATAATATATTCTATATATAATAAAAATCTATACAATATATTATTAATTCGATCAAATTTAAAAACTTGTATTTGCATGTACAACAATATGGATTACCTCCTAGATAAATAAGTATAAATAGATCGCTATCTCGGGCGATTTGACGTTACACTCATTTTAATTTACGAATTGATCACAACATGGCAGCACATGTACATACAGTATGTAAATTAACCCCTGGTATTACTTCTACTTTTGTACATATAATCAATATGTACAAAAAATCTGAAAAAAATGTAATATTTGAAATAAGAACAAAACATACGAAATACAAAATATATTTTCAAATATATCACAGATACATATTTTTGAAGAATTATAAACTAAACAGAAATAACTGACTACTATTAATTAAAGTATATTACAGATATATTTTTAAAGAACTACAAATTAAAGAGAAACTAGTGGGGTGTATGGCATCGTGCCTTAAGGCAAATTGCTGGAACTTCCCGTACCGTAACGAAATGTTCGAAGAATATTGAATGTTTTCAAATAGATTATTATAAATATTGTAACATTGTCTAATATTTATAAGAATTATATAAACTGAATTGCAGAGTTGAAATTATTTGTTTAAGTTATATTGGAACTTTAGACAGAATAAAAATAAAATTTGAATTATTTTCGATATATAAAAAAAACTAAAAAAAAAATTATACAATTTTTTTTTTTCAAAATCAATTATTTTATTAAGACAAGCAGAAGTTAAAGTTTTTTGAATCATTTAAATCGGACGCTTAGTTCTCGCAAAAACTGCCATTTTTTACATATTTAGCCCCGTATCTTCGAAATGGCTGGACCCGCCTTTGCCAAAAACCAATAAACACTTCTCCCAATCATTACTAATTGAATGTTTTTTAGATCATTCAAATCGGATACTCCGTTCTCTCAAAAAGTCGATTTCTATTTTCTGCACTCTTTGCTCCGTATCTCCGAAACGGTTGGACCTGTCTTCGCCAAAAGCTAATCAGCTCTTTTACCTATCAATAGGAATCGAATGTTTTTTGAACCATGTAAATCGTTTGAACCGTGCGCCCGAAAAATTGCAGACATACAAAACACACACACACACACACACACACAAACACACATCCATTTAGTTTCTGAGGTATGCCCCTTAAAAATGTTCAGAAACCTTCAAAACGTCGATAAATGCAAAAATTTTCATTTTCGATTTTTGGCCCATTACTATAACTACCCTACGGGAAGTTAAAAAGTATAGGACAGGATACTAAAAAATTTGAAACTTTTGAATTTTAGACGTAGGTACAGGACAGTGTCTACCGTATATATATATATATATATATATATATATATATATATTTATAATTCAAAAAATCCAAACCAATTCAAAACGATGTTTTCAGATCATATGCTCAATTTCAATCACACTTTTAACACTTCCCATCCGGTTATCCTTTATATCGAAAAAAATAGTGACCTTAGAAAATTTGCTGAATCCTTTTTTATTTCATTAAATTCCTCCTCTTGTGTTAATAAACGCAATTCATCCCACCTTTTACATGATAGTTATCAGATTGTTATTGATTTTATTAAAAAAACATAAAATTAATTTGCTTATCTCTTTTTATTATTTCTTACAATATTGTTTTTTTCTTGTTCTAACGTTTACATGGTTTTCTTTTTCCTTTTGATCAATTCCAGTTCAAGCACTGTTTGTTCGAGGCGTTTTCGTGCTTCGAGAATTTTGTCCTTGATGCGTCCCCTCCCATTCCTATCAATACGCCTCAGTCGAGTCTGGATGCTCGGTATGGGCGTGTTTCTCGTCTCACAATTATGTATTTTATAACTTTTAGTCAAATTAGTTTCAAATCTTTAGTTATTCATAATTTTTTCTAAAAATGGTTTTCTCTAATATGTTATTAAGTTTAATTTTTTAAAATAAATTTTTGTTGAGTGTTTTGTCCTGTGGTGTGTATAATGTTTCTCTATGCTACAATTAATTCTATATTGTTGTTTTATATTAGTAATAAAATTTCAAATTGTTGTAGTTGCTGAATGATGACACGCATCTTGTGTCGAAACGTATAAATAAAAGTATTTACACTTTATACCTTTTTTATTTCGACGAATGGGCTGCTAGTTACTTTGAAATATATTTATATATATATATATTATATATATATATATATACAGACAGTGTCGTCTGTATATATATATATATATATATATATATATATGTATATATATATATGTATATATATATATATATATATATATATATATACAGAAGAATTTATTTATTACGACCCTGTCACGTTCAGTTACCATACAAAATTCTTATTGCAATTTGACTATAGCGATAGCTTTTATATATAAAAAATAATCCCCAGTACTTTAATTTATCTTCCATGTCTAATTCCCACAATGTCACAAGGAATAGAACTATCAAAGGATCGACTTTTAAGCTTAATACTACTTTTAATTCAATTGATGGTTTTGGTATTCAACTGTTCAATTTATCACCTTTACAAATACGTCAACTAAGCAATCATAAGTTCCACAACGTTTTGATTAATTTACTAAAAGCCAACAGTTTTTTATGATATTTCTGAATATATCAATTTTGACTTCAAGATATACAGCGGTACCATCCCCTCTATATTATAAATATCTATTGTTACTAATTATATGTGATATCTTACAAATACAGCAATTTTTGGCTATAACTGAGTATTACTTAGCTGTGAAATATTTTTCTTCGTCTCTGATCTTTTTAATAATTTCTGCGAATCAATGGATATACAGGACCTCAACTTTTGAAGATGCTCTAAACGAAGACGTAATATCAAGTTTCATAAAATCAAGACACAAAATTAAATTATTTTAGCATTCCTATATTTGTATTTTATATTTGGTTGTTTTCTTATTTAATTATAAAATTGTGAATTATATATCTAATCTTATATATAAAAATGGAGATTTCGATCAAATGATTCGGTAAAACTCGAAAACGGCTAAACCGATTTGGTCAATTTTAGTCTTGAAAAATTCATGCAAATCCAGAGATGGTCGGAAAGGTGAGATATTATTTCAAAATCGCGTAAAAACTTTACGTTTTTAATTTGAAATGTTTTGTAGAAGCGTAATTTAAATAAAACAATGGACGGTGACTAATACGTCAAATGTCAAACGTTTTCGACAGATGATGTTCAATTACGTTTAATAGGATGTTTTACGTAAATATTATTTAATTATGATTAAATTGTAGGAAGTAGTTTTGTTTGTAGTTTTATTTATATACAAAAACGTTATTAAACAGGCCGCAAATGTTACTAGAGACTCAAAATATCAAATTTTTTGAAATGTTAATATGAAAATGCACTTTTTGGCATATTTTTCTCAAACACGGTGCTCTGAAAGATCCCATTTGTATAATTATATACTCATTGATATTTATAAAACATTTTCTAGGTTATATTATTTTTTATTTATGTTATTTAAATTCAGAACCTAAATTTGGAATCGATCAAAGGGACATTTGATTGAAGTCGAATAACATTTTCCCAGTTATAATTTCCCAAAATTTATCGAAGAATAGATAGTAATATATTAAGGTTCGGGGTTAAAAAGGTCTAGTAAAGTTAAGCATTTTCTAACAATAATATTTGAAAGTAGAGAAGAAAAGATGTATAATCAGCTTATAACCTTGATTCATATGACTTTGCTATCAGGAGATAAACGGTAATCTTTGTAAATCCACAATAAAAGTATTTCCTTCCGTTGGCAGTTTTTTAGAATTAGTTAAAAATGTAATTATTTTGTATAATACCTTTAAAATTAAAATAAGACATTAAACCTGTTTGCCACCTGGAATAACAAATTTTTGAAAAATGGTAAAAAAGCACATTTCTACAATGATGACAGTTTTACTGAACGTAGTCAGATAATTCTTTGTTTGAAATGTGTTATTTGTTGTGATATAATTGGTTTGATTTTTATAATATAATTAATATTTGCTCAAAGTCAAATTGGATCTTTGTGCCTCACTCTGCTCTACATATATACTTTTTATTAAATTTACTTTAATTCATCGAATGTTACTTGAAACTTTTTAAAAATCAGGTCAAAGAAGAAATACTTGATCCATATTCTATCTTTCCTCGCAGAAATTTGAAAATTTTGTATAAGCTCAGTAATATTATTTACAATTATACACAAAATACAGAATCCAAAAGGAATCTGAAAGGCTTGAAACATAATGAGTCGAAAGACCAAAAAAAGACTTGGATTGGATTATACCATGTTTTCTTTAGAAAGTGTATAAAACTTTCAGTTAACAAAATATAGACAAACTAATGTTTTTATAATACCTCATTGTATATAGCATTCAAACAACACTTATTCCTTATACACTTGAAGTACTAAATTTTTTGATTCTCTAGAAATTGTTTAGAATATACCTTACTTAGCAAAACGTTTGCCAGGTCCAGGTCAGCTAGTATATATATATATATATATATATATATATATATATATATATATATATATATATATATGCTCATTAATTATAATAATTGCCTTATTGCAATTTGACTATATATATATTATATATATATATATATATATATATATATATATATATAATATATACAATAGCTTTTATATATAAAAGTATAAGAGACTGTTTCTGCAATAAAATAATGAAAAGATTACTCACAGTAAAAAATCGTTTTGTACATACAAAATTATAAGTAGTTTTTATTTACACTTAATATGTATGTATACATATGTACTTACTATTAAAATAAGATTATATATATATATATATATATATATATATATATATATATATGTGTGTGTATATATATAAATATATTTATTTATTATATTTACATGCATATATTTAATGTCTCCTCCGCTTCGGTTTAACAGTTCCATACACCTCCAACAAGCCTCCTCGTTCCTTCTTGCGTTTCCTCTCAAAGCTTTTACCTTTAGCGTTGGACAAGCCAAAAACATTCTTACCCAATTGTTGCAAATTCTTCTCCTTTTCCAAAACAGCCTGGTTTTTCTTTTTCTCGCTTATGAGTTCTTTGTAATTCTTGTACTTGTTCTTCGGTGGTTTAGCTCCTAGTTTAATAGCAAGTTGAACTTTAGCCTCTTCTTTCTTTTTAGTATCGAATCCAGATATACCAAACTTCATTATTTCGAACCTGGCTTTTTTCATGTCGATTTCTTTACGGTCTTCTGGTACTAGTTTTATAGGAGACTCTTCGTTTGTGGTTTGTTTTTGTTTGGTTTTAGGTTTCGGGGCTTCGTATACAGTTGCATTGAATTGTGAGGATGATTTTAGTAATGATGATTTTGTTTGGATAGGTGCCAGAGGGTCCATTGGATTTTCGACTAGTTTTGATTTTCGTTTTTTATTTGCCATTTTAAACCCACTTTTATATACACACAATGAGGATATGTGTTAATTTTGATGTTCACTTTGCTTGGAAGAACTGTCACATTTTTTAGGTTATGTGTAGACATGCCTGTGTGCGAAAGAACGGTGATGAAGTTGGTTTCCATGAACATGAAGTTCTTGATATAAATTCAAATTTAAAAAATAATAAATAAATAAATATATATAAATATAAATATATGTATATATATATATATAAATGTATTCAAAATATTTATATATATAATTAACTTTTACAAATTGCTAACCTTCAAACAATCAAAGGTCACTTGACAGTTGAAACATTGGGGGCGAATCGGCGGCGGGAAATTCAAATAAACAAGTGGTTATAATTAACAATTATAATTCATAAAATAATTAATAATTCACAATTTTTATAAAATAATGTAATTACTTATGACATATTGATCAACATTTTCATGCCAAACAAAATAATTTTTTTTTTTTTTTTTTTTTTTTTTTTTTTTAATTAAATTTATTTATATATATATACATTATTTTCATATCTCAGTCAGGCAGAGTTGCCTGGTATGAGAGATTATGAAAACAGTTTTCATATACAATATAATACATAATTAGTAAGAAAAATGCAAATTTATTAAACTCTTGAATAAAATTTTTTGAAGTATCCTTTACAAAGTTCTTTCACTAACTATTTCATATATATAATGTAATTAGGAACTGTATCTTCAGTTAAAATTAAATGTGGTATAAATCTACGATGTCTTCTCTACAAAAGCATTCTTGATAATTATTTCTATCATGGCACATTTGTGATAAAGAAATGCATCTTGTATATAAATTAATAGTTTTCGATTTTCACCTGAAAATAAAAATATGGTATTAATTTACTAAACAAATGATTTTCAAAAAGCCAAGTGATTCTGTTATAATTTCTGTTATAAATAATTTGACTAATTTACTGAATTTTTATTAACAACAAAATAATATTTATAATATGAAATTCATTACATTTTAAATGAAATTATATATATATATATATATATATATATATATATATATAATATATATATATGTATATTAGAGTCCCTTTTCTATAAAGTGTTTTTTATTTTGCAGTTTGGTCGTCAGTAGAATTCTTTTTTTATTAACAATTTTATAAATTGTTTACTCGTCAATATAGTCCTTTCCCTATTCACTATTTTTTAATTTAGTTTGCTCGTCAGTAGAGTCCCTTTTTCATTTAATGTCTTTTATTTTATTTTGCTCGTCAGTGAAGTCCCTTTCCTATTTTTATTATTAGTTTGCTCGTCAGCAGATTCCCTTTTAGTTATTATTTTTTATTACACTTATTTTTTTTATTACAGTTTTTTCTTCATTGAAGTCCTTTTTCTATTTACTGCTTTTTATTTCAGTTTGCTTGTAAGTAGAGTCCCTTTTCTATTTACTGACTTTTAATTTCATTTTAAACATCAGTAAAGTCCTTTTTTCATTCAATGTTTTGAATTAGAGTCCTTTTTCTATTCAATATTTTTTATTTCAGTTTGCTCGTCAATAGAGTCCCTTTTTCATTTACTGTTTTTTATTTCAGTTTGCTTGTAAGTAGAGTCCCTTTTCTATTTTTTTTTTATAATTTTGTTTGTTTATCAGTAGAGTTTCTTTTCTATATTTTTATAATTTAGTTTGTGGTTGTCAATAGAGTTCCTTCTTCTATTTTTATTTTTATATTTTAGTTTGCTCTTTTCAGTTTTTCATTTCAGTTTGCTCGTCAGTAGAATCCCTTTTCATTTTTTTTGTAATTTTGTTTGGTTGTCAGTAGAATCCCGTTTCCATTTTTCTTTTTGTAATTTAGTGTGGTTGTCAGTAGAGTTCCTTTTCTATATTTTTAATAATTCTGTTTGGTTGTCAGTAGAGTCCCTTTTAAATTTTATTTAATATTTTAGTTTTCTCGTCAGTAGAGTCCTTTTTTGTAAAATGTTTCATATTTCAGAATGCTCGTCGGTAGAGTTCCTTTTCTGTTTACTGTCTTGTATTTTAGTTTGCTCGTCAGTAGAGTCCCTTTTCAATTATTTATCGTCTATTTTGCTCGTCAGTAGAGTTCTTTTTTATCATCTTCAAGTAGAATGCTATTTATTTGACTATTATCTGAGTTTTGATTTTTTACTTTTCACGTCGATATTCGGTTTGCTCGTCAGTAGAGTTCCTTGTAAACTCTTTATCTTTTATTTTACTCGTCAGTAGAATTATCTTGTATTTTGCTCGTCAGTAGAGTCCTTTTTCTATTTTACGTAATACATTTTACGCGTAATGCTACTGGTCTTAATGAACATACTAAAATATTGTAGGGCTGTGGATGACCAGTGGTACAATTATAAGAAATAATTTGGTTTTGGATTAATTGACACGCGCTTTTAGAAAATACTCCGTGAATATATTAAATGAATGTTCATTGTTCAATAATGTATAATATTTGAATAATATGTCGAAATTAACTAACATTTTTGGAAAATTTGTATAAAATTGAATAATCTCACAATGTAAAACCTTACAGCAACTCGGTATATTTATAAAATAATAATAAATTAATATATTGATTATTACTTGCCGTAAGGCAAAATAACACTTACAATTAGTTTCGTTCATATCAATACATTTGTAGTAAAAATATTTTACTAACGCTCACCATGCGTAGCCAAGCCTAAGCAAAAATGTATGAGAAAGCGTCGTGTTAGGTTCGGAAGACATGGCAAGTCGTCTATTAACTTGGTTTAAGGCAAAGTGCCACTTACACCTAATTATCGAAATCATTAAGCACATGGCATTAGCAATCAACAATAGTTTTTTTTTAATGTCTGGGAATTCTGATTTACTATTATCAATCAATTTATCATTCAATTGCACATTTGTTGCAGAAAAATCAATAAATTCCGCAAGTGCATTATCAATAGAACTAATTAACGATAACGATAAGAGATAACAGATTTTTTTTTGCAAAAATAGAACTGCACTCAAATTGGCACGAGGATTTATATTTAACCTTTTGGCAAGTTGCAAAATTTAACCTTGTTGTAAGTGGCATTTTGCCTTATGCCAAGTTGTATACATATACCGATTTTTGTACACAATCAATTTAATAAATAACAATTGAAATTCAAAGGTAAAATTAGTTCAACTCTAGGGGACTCTACTAACGAGCAAACAGAAGTAAAAAACAATAAATAGTAAAGAGACTCTACTGACGAGCAAACTAAAATAAAATAGTAAATAGAAAAGGGACTCTACTGACAAGCAAACTGAAATTAAAGACATCAAATAAAAAAGAGACTCTACTGACGAGCAAAATAAAGAAGGAGCCATTTTTATAGAAAAAGGACTCTACTGACGAGCAAACTGAAATAAAATACATCAAATAGAAAAAAGAACTCTACTGACGAGCAAACTAAAATAAAATAGTGAATAGAATAGGGACTCCACTGACAAGCAAACTGAAATTAAAGACATCAAATAAAAAAGAGACTCTACTGACGAGCAAACTGAAATTAAACACAGTAATTAAAAATGGGACTCTACTGACATGCAAAGTGAAATTAAAGACATCAAATAAAAAAGAGACTCTACTGACGAGCAAACTAAAATTGAAGACAGTAAATAAAAAAGAGACTCTACTGACGAGCAAACTGAAATAAAATACTTCAAATAGAAAAAGGACTCTACTGACGAGCGAACTGAAATAAAATACTTCAAATAGAAAAAGAACTCTACTGACGAGCAAACTGAAATTAAACACAGTAATTAAAAGTGGGACTCTACTGACAGACATGCAAACTGAAATAAAAAACAGTAAATCGAAAAGGAATTCTTCTGACGAGCAAACTAAGATTAAAGACAGTAAATAGAAAAAGGACTCTACTGACGAGCAAACTGAAATAAAATACATCAAAAAGAAAAAGGACTCTACTGACGAACAAACTGAAATAAAATACATCAGATAGAAAAGGGACTCTCCTGACGAGCAAACTAATTACTAACAAAAGTTAAGAATCAGTTTGCTCGTCAGTAGAGTCCCTTTCTGGCAAATTTATTATTTTCACAGACAAAGAGAATTCAATTTTTCTAAAAGAAGAACTCTACTAATTAGCATACTGAATTTGACAAAACTTAAGGCTAGATTTGCTCGTTAGTAGAGTTCTATTTTATGGTATTTGGGATAGAAATTTGAAATAAACTGTATTGACGATCAAATAAAACTTTAACGAGACGAAAGACTTAATTTGCTCGTCAGTAGTATTCCTTTTTGTGCAAATTGATATTAGCATAAAAAATTGGTTCCAGTTCTCCGACAAAAAGAACTCTACTGACGAGCAAACTAAATTTACACGCAGAAAAATAAAACATTTAATTTGCTCCTCAGAAAAATTCTATTTTATAACAATTAAAGCAGAAATTTGAAAAGAACTCTACTGACGATCCAATTGAGCTTCCACAAAACTTGAGATTAAATTTGCTCGTCAGTAGAGTTCATTTTATCAGACAAATAATTTTTATTTATATCAAAACACAACTTGCTTGTCAGTACAGTTCTTTTATGCAACAACCATGCTTAAAATTTGCTACTTATAAAAAAACTTAATATTCATTATTAAAATTAAGAAACGAACTGTACTGTCGAGCAAATCAAATATTACATATTAACAAAATTGTATTTATAAGTAAAATTTCTTACCTTCGAGTACGTTTCGAGTTTTCTAAAGCCATTTTTGAGTATACCGAGTTGTTGTAGAGTGTTGTGATGCTAGAAAAAATGTAGACAATTTAATTAGCTACAAATTTGTTAAATGCACTATTTACATACAGCAAATAGTTTAAAAGTTATGAACGCTTAAATGAAAAAATGTACTTACACGTGAAAATCATTGAGTAGTTATCGTGTAGAACGGCACCAAGAGTATTCATCATTTTCTAATTCTTTTTTTGAGTATACCGAGTTGTTGTAGAGTGATGTGATGCTAGAAAAAATTGTAGATGATTTAATTGGCTATAAATTTGTCATATACACTATTTGTATACAACAGATGGTTTAGAAGTTATGAACAATTTAATAAAAAAATGTATTTACTAGTTTAGGTTTTTCTTTAAAACATTAGTGAAATTAGTTCAAAATTTGTATAAAATTCATTTCATTTTAAGAAATACTTTTATAAGGATTGATATGAATTTATATATATATATATATATATATATATATATTAATACTAAATTTAAATTTAATAATTTATTATCAATCAAACAATTACCTTTTCTGCGTAAATTGCATTCGTCTGCAACAATCTCGAAAAGTACCTCGAGTACTTGATTCAACAAGAATTTCAGATAAAATCCAATGATTATCCAGAATTATCTACAATTAAAAAAAATTATCTTTATCTATCGATAACGAATAGCACTTGTTATATAAACCGAGTACTAAAACAACTTTTGTCCATTTTGTGTACAAGTTTTTTTGAAAAAAGTGCCAAAAAATAAAACAATTTAAAACCAAAAATGGTCTCGACGAAATTGTGTTTGCAATTTTTGATTGTTGCATTTGTCGGATATACGACAAGTGGTAAGTAGAATGATAAAAAATATAAATAATTTAATAAATAAATTTGTTCTTGTAAATCTAATTTGAAAAACTTAAATTAAGGTCTCAAATTTAAAAAAAAAATTAAACTAAATTTATATGTTCGTTTTTAAAAAATGCATAAAGTTTTGTATAACAAATTTACTTAATTTATATAAAATACTAATTATATTTCCAAATCCGTTGTATCGACTTTTGCTTCAAAATTTTTCATTCCGAGTTAAATTATTCAAAGAGACTTATTTTTATTTTCATATAATATTACTAATTATATAATACAATAAAAAAATCTTGTTTAAACGACATCTGCTTGACGACCTGTGTGTACGAGTGTCTTCTATAGATGACATTATAGAGAATTCTAATATATTGCTCTAACTTTTAGTTATTTCAGGAGTGTTATTTTATATATTTATTTATTGAATTTTTTTACGCATCAATCGTTCAAACGACATCTACTTGACGACCTGTGTGTACGAGTGTCGCTTATAGACAACTTTATGGAGAATTCAAATTAATTAGTGTATTTTTAGTTTTTTCAGGAGTGTGATTTGAATATATTTTATTATTATTAAAACAAATTTATTTTTTTAATGCGTCAGTAAAATTTGTTAGTTTGGAAAACATGTAGCATTTTATATTGCAATTTTTGAGTATACCGAGTTGTTGTAGGGTCTTGAATTATTAGAAAAAGTTGTAGACAATTTAATTGGCTACAAATTTGTCGAATGCACTAATAATATTAAACAAATGGTTTAGAAGTTATAAGCAATTGAATGAGAAAATGCACTTACGTAATAAAATCATTGAGTAGTTATCGTGAGGAACGGCACCAAGAGTATTCATCATTTTCTAATGCAATTTTTGAGCATACGGCGTTGTTGTAGAGTGTTGTGATGCTAGAAAATGTTATGGACAGTTTAATTAGTTACAAATTTGTCAAAAACACTGATTATATTAAACCAACAGTTTAAAAGTTATAGGCATTTGAATAAAAAAAGGTACTCACTATTAAAAATCATTGAGTAGTTATCGTGTGGAATTGCACCAAGAGTACTCGTCAGATTCTTTTCGATTTTTTGAGTACACCGAGTTGCTGTAGAGTATTGTGCTGTTAGAAAAAGTTAAAGATAATTTAATTAGCTACGAATTTGTCAAATGCACTAATAATATTAAACAAATAGTTTTGACGTTATGAAGCAATAATAAAAAAAAGTACGTAAGATATTTCACATATATGTAAATATGACGCCAATAGGTGATTTAATATGTCATTAGGTCATTTGTGATAAAATTTTTGCGACCAAATTTAATCCAAGGATCCAAATTTAATCCAAGGTTCCAAATTTAATACAATTTGTAAAATAAATTTATAATATTTGTCATAAAACTAATTACATACGAACAATATTAGCCGATATTAAGGGGGTTGTTCTTATTTTTTTACAAAAAATGCAAGGTATTTGTTTTTGTTTTTCTCGAAATGTATTTATCATAAAGACATGCGGTTTTTTTAAACAAAAATTACAAAATCATAGAATATTACGAAATTTTCTTTTTCTTTTTTTTCTCTGTCATTTTCTAACCAGGGGGCCTTGCAAAATCGATTTCTTTTGCGATACCACAGATAAATCCGTTGCGCATCGCCTGAAACAAAAAAAAAAAAAAAACTACGTTGAAGAAGAAGTTTGAATCCAGTCCCCCTACCAAAATGAAAGAAAAAAAGCAAAAATGAAAAAAATGGCAGCTATTTAAAAAAAAAGTGTTGAAAAAGGCGAGAAGTTTCGCAAAATTTTTTTGCGTAATGTTATCAAGTTGTTTGAGGTAGAGGGACTAGGTATTGCAGTTGTGAACAAATTAAAAAAAAATGCAAGTCGATCCGATTTGTAGTTTTTTTTTTAATTTGTGGCACCGCGTTGAAAAAAGTCAATTTGAGAAAAACGTATTTAAAGTTGTTAATATAATGTACTAAATACGCCATTTAATTTAATGTACTAAATACACCATGGTGTTCAAAGATGCTGACACATTAAAAAGGTCACGTGCATGAGGTGTTATAATGAAAAAGAGAGCAGTTGGCATACAATAGCTCCGGAGCGATGAAAAAAACGGTTTCAGAGAATCATACATATAGAGATATATATTTATCTATAACTTTGTCAAAAATATAGATATTGAGATGTTTTTTTTTTAAATAATTCTAAGGTTTTTAGCTTTCATAATATCAAAAAATCTCAATATCGAATAAAAATAAGTAAAAACCGAACAACCTCCTTAAATTACATAAATTTTTTTTTTCCAGCCCAACAATACACATGTCTAACCGATGGCGAAAAAGAAACCACAACATGCAAACTCATCAACGAATGTTACGTAATTTACAACACAAAGTCAGGTAACCACCATATTTCAACCACAGACAACCACCATATTTCAACCACCGTTTATCAAATTTTATATCCTTTACCAGGAACCACCAACTACGGTTGCCTAATCAAGATGACGAATTCCCAAAGAAACTACTGTGCCAAAAATCCACACATGTGCATAACTTGCACTGGAAATAATTGCAATACCAAAGATTTGATGAAAATGTGCATCACTTGCACCTCCAAGGAGGACGAGAGATGCACCACCGATCCTCAGCAATTGGCTAAAACTTCTGTCAGGCCTTGCAATGGTGATTGCATTACACATGTCCTTCCAGGTGGGTAAAATAGACTCTTGGTATATAAATGATTAAAAAGGGACTGTACTGAGGAGCAAAATACAAGACGAACTAGTTGGTTTAGTATTTAGCCTTGAGGCAAGTTACATGAACTTCCCGATATGTGCAATTAATCGACTTAATCAATAAAAAATAAATTAATTTATGAGTGATTAAAAGTATTAAAGACAAGGAGTATTTTCTAAAAGTAAATTTTCAGAAATCAACAATTATCATAATTGAACCAGTCTCCATAGACTTTAATAGCTTCATATGTTCATTAAAACCAAGTACAAGTCCAATTTTAATGTTAACAAACGTCAAAAAAACTACTAGAATTTTTAAAATTAAACTACTTGTTTTGAGGCCGTGATATTTCAGTAAATTCTATAAGACCATGATACATATCGTCAAAAAAAGTTTCATGAAAATCGGCTTAAATTTTTTTTTCAACAGTTAGTTACAAGAAAACGGCTCGGTAGATTTTCACCTAAAATTAATCAGTATCATTCCCAACTAATATCTTTCGAACAGTTTTTGATTTTTTAAAATAGATTCGGTAGTATGAGCTTAAATGTGAACGAAGTATTTAACAATTTTTTCAAATTACAAAGAAACGGCTTAGCAGATCGTCGCACAAAACTGACGAACAATAGTCCTCATCGAGTTACATCAAATGGCTTTTAAATTTATGAAATCGGTTCAGGCGTTTTTGAAAACACGTCGATGAAAGGTCTAATTTTGACAAATGCCAAAAAAACGATACCAATTTTTGCAAATTTTGACGAATTTTTAAAGTTAAACCAATTGTCGTAAAGCCGTAATATTTTAGTATGATCTAGAAAACTATGGTATCTACCGTCAAAAAAATAATAATAAAAATCGGACGAAATTTTTTTCACTTTTCTGCTATTTACTAAGAAACGGCTTGGCTGATCGTCACGCTAAATTGATAAACGCTAGTCCTCATCGAGATACATCGAATGGCTTTTAAATTTTTGAAATCGGTCCAACCGTTTCTGAGAAAACGTCGATTACGGCAAAGAATCTGTTCACACACACACACACAAACACATACTTTTTCCAAATGTTGGTCTCATTCGATTCAGAATAGCTTGAAACGTCGAGAAAACAAAATTAGCATAATCGGATTTTTTTATGAAAACGTAAACTTCTCCTTCGGGAAGTTAATAAGTAAAAAGGGACTCTACTGACGAGCAAACTAATTATGATCAAAACTTGAACAGTTTGCTCGTTAGTAGAGTCCACTTCTGTGGAATTGATTGTACTAAAAATTGACACCAACTAGCTGTAAGTGAAATTCTGTCTTAAGGCAATTGGGGCATCGTGCCTTAAGGCAAATTGCTCGAACTTCCCGTATCAAAAATTATTATTTTTTCAAGAACGATTAACATCTTAAAAAAAAAATTACTTCGAAAAAATTAGATTTCTGAGAAACTATAAATTGGACAAAAAATTACTTTTTTTTGACAAAATTTTTTTTCAAAAAAAAAATTTTATTTTAATTTTTTTTTTTTAATTTTTTTTTTATTTTGACATATTTTGGAAGATTTGCACTTTTTTTTAAAGCAATCGTACTGCTTTAACTGCATAAAGACAAAATATAAAGCGCGTAAGCGCCGCATCGCTGTCTAACGGATAAACATTGGAACGGAACCCATAGGAATGTAAACAAAATTTATACTCATTGTTAAAATCTCTATAAAATATCTGATAATTTGATGTGCATATGTCTAATGATCAATTTTGACCGCTAAATGGCATTTTTTTTACTTTTTTCGTTAGATCTCCGAAACAGCTAGACCTACCCTCATGAAAATTTGATCAATTCTTCATCTTGTCAATACAAGTGAAATGTTTTTTTGAATTATTCAAATCGGACGCTCCGTTCTCTTAAAAACTGAGTTACCGTTTTCGGCACTTTTTGCCCCGTATCTTCGGAACGGCTAGACCTGCCTTCGCCAAAAACTAATCAGCACGTCTCCTTATCAATACGAATCGAATGTTTTTTGAATTATTCAAATCGGTTGATCCGTGTTCCCGAAATCGTCGACGAAAATTTGTATCCGAACATACATACACACACGCACATACATACATACATACACACACACACACACACACACACACACACACATACATCCATTTTTTCTAAGGTGTGCTAAAATGTTCAGAAACCTTTGAAACGTAAAGATATATAAAAATTTTCATTTTCGATTTTTTTGCGATTACTATAACTTGACCTACGGGAAGTTAATAATTATTATTACTTTTAACATTATTAAAAAAACGAACTGTACTGATGAGCAAATTAAATATTAACAAAATTGGATTTAAGTAAAATTTATTATCTTCAAGGACGTTTTGAGTTTTCTAAAGCCATTTTCGAGTATACCGAGTTGTTGTAGAGTGTTGGAATGTTAGAAAAAGTTGTAGATAATTTAATTTACTATAAATTTGTTAAAAACACTATTTATATACAATACCTGGTTTAGAAGTTATGAACGATTAAATGAAAAAATGTACGTACTCATTGAAATCATTGAATAGTTATCGTGTGGAATTGTACCAAGAGTATTCGTCATTTTGTAATGCAATTTTTGAGTATACCAGGTTGGTGTAGAGTCCTCTGATGTTAGAAAATATTGTAGATAATTTAATTAGCTACAAATTTATTAAAATACTATTCATATACAGCAAATAGTTTAGAAGTTATGAAGAATTGAATAAAAAAATGTACTTACTCATAAAAATCGTTGACTAGTTATCGTGTGGACTTGTACCAAGAGTATTCATCATTTTCTAATGACATTTTTGAGTATACCGAGTTGGTGTAGAGTGTTGTCATTTCAGAAAATGTTATAGATAATTTAATTTACTATAAATTTGTTGAAAACACTATTTATATATAGCACCTGGTTTAGAAGTTATGAAGGATTGAATAAAAAAATGTACTTACTCATAAAAATCGTTGACTAGTTATCGTGTGGACTTGTACCAAGAGTATTCATCATTTTCTAATGCTATTTTCGAGTATACCGAGTTGTTGTAGGGTGTTGTAATGTTAGAAAATGTTGTAGATAATTTAATTAGCTTCAAATTTGTCATATACACTATTCATATACAACAGATGGTTTAAAAATTATGTACGATTAAATGAAAAAATATCAACTAACCATTCTTGATTGGTGGGTAAAAGTGAGTAACATAATTGTTTTTTCCCCAGATGGTACAAATACAAGGGGTTGTATGAAACCAACTGATGACTGTGATGATATGAAATGCCAGGAGTGCAAAGGTAACCTTTGTAATGTCGATGTTTTCCCAAGAAATCGCAGGGTTTGCAACGCTAAAGATGATGCCAAGGAAGTTTGTCTCAAGCCACAAGATACTTGTTTGAGTATTTTAAATGCACAAGGTAAGGGTAAAAAATTTTTGGTTGTTATTTTTCCCTTTCGACACAAAGGTCAAATTCTACTTTTACTGTAAAAATCAAAATTACTTTCATACTATGTTCAGTAAAATACCCAACACTCTAGATTATTTTTTAAAATAAATGATTAAAAAGGGACTGTACTGACGAGCAAAATGTTTTTTTGATGTGAGATGAAAAAGGACTCTACTGACGAGCAAACTAAATATTGATTTAAAATATAAAAAAGAACTCTACTGAAAAGCAAATTTAAATTGCAGACTAAATAGTTAAAAAGGGACTCTACTGACGAGCAAATATAATTCTGATTTAAGATAAAGAAGGACTCTACTGACGAGCAAATTTAATGTTGATTTAAGGTAAAAAAGGACTGTACTGACGAGCAAATTTAACTCTGATTTAAGATAAAATTATTAAAAATAAAAAATAAATAAAAAGGAACTCTACTGACAAGCAAACTTCAAATGCAAACTAAATAGTTAAAATAAAAAGGACTCTACTGACGAGCAAATTTAATTTAGATTTAGAAAATAAAAAGGGACTCTACTGACGTGCAAATTTAAATTACAGACTAAATCGTTAAAAAAAGGACTCTAATAACTAACAAACTTAATACTGATTTAAGATAAAAAAAGACTTTACTGACGAGCAAAGTAAATGATAAAAACGGACTCTAAAGACAAGCAAATTTTTTTCTGATTTAAGATAAAAAAGGATTGTACTGACCAGCAAACTGAAATTGAGAACAAAATGGTTAAAAAAAGAACTCTACTGACGAGCAAATTCATTTCTGATGTCAAGGATAAAAAAGGGACTCTACTGACAAGCAAATTTAAATCAAACTAAATAGAAAAAAACCCTACTGATGAGCAATATCATTTCTGATTTAGAAAACAAAAAGGGACTCTACTTACGAGCAAAGTAAAAAATAAAAAAGGGACTCTACTGACGATCAAATTTAATTCTGATTTATGACAAAAAAGGACTCTACTGACGAGCAAAGTTAAATTGCAAACTAAATAGCAAAAGAGAACTCTACTGACGAGCAAATTTAATTCTGATTTAAAATAAGAAAGGACTCTACTGACGAGCAAATTCAATTTTGATTTAAGATAAAAAGAAACTTTACTAACGAGCAAACTTAATACTGATTTAAAATAAAAAAGGACTCTACTGACGAGCAAACTTTAATTGCAAACTAAATGATGAAAAAGGGACTCTTCTGAGTTCAACATTGTATTGTTTTTTGCTAGAACAATAAGATGATTTGTATTAAAAGAATGTTTAAGATTGAATAAAAAAATTGAGTAATAAATATTTATATCGATTCATTATTTTAAAAATTTATTGGTCAAAAATCGTCTTTCTCTCTCATACATACAACCTTTTTCCAAATTTGGTCTAATTCGATTCAGAATGACTTGAAACGCCAAGAACACAAAATCAGCAAATCTTTCTACCAAATTCTCATTTGTTACGTTAAAAATAATCCTCTATCCTCTATCTTTTACCCAGGTGATGCCATAAAATTAGGGTGCACCAGCAACCTGTTCAAGAACCAGAATCTGAAAAAAATGTGCGAGAAAAAACCAGAACGTTGCCCAACTTGTGACAAAAACGAATGCAATGGTGATGCCAAAAAACACGAATGTGTTTCTTGTGATGAAAATGATGAAAATTGCCTTGACGACCCTGAAAAAGTCGAGACGAAGACCAAATGCATGGGCAAATGCTACTTAGATATTGACGGAGGTAATAATTGTCAGAGATAATAATCTTATTTGTCTTATCCAAGACTAGGGTTTATACAGAAACCGACATTTCAGAAAACCGGTTTTCGAATTTTAATTTTACTAAAAACCGGTTTTCGAATTTCATATGAAAAATAAATTTTTGCTCGAATATTCTGTAATTTATCCGCAAATTTAGTGTAATTTAGAGCAGTATTTGACTCAATTTATTTATTGTTTAATTTTATGGATAGTAAAATTATTTTAATTTTAATTAGTAGAACTTAAGATTAATAGTTTATCTTGATTAAATAACTTTGAAAATAATTATTCGTTATTCATACATCATTATCACATACAAGAATGAAAATAAATTTATGATAGTGAAAGCAAAGTTTTAGAATAAATGAAAATAATACATTTTTAAATAAAAAAATTCATTAAATTAAAAAAAAATAGTAGATACATTTTGATACATACTTGTAAATATCAATTTTAGTTTTAAAAACAATTAAGCTAAACTCGGGTATTGTCTGTTCGGAGCAATTTTATTTAATTAATTTTAAACATTCAAATTGTTTTTTTGTTTAATAAAATATGATTTCAAAAACTGAGAACGTCTATCGAATTGCTACTTAGACGTGTCCTTTGTTTACTCACAAAATTTTCTGAAATAGAAAATACTCTCATACTTGCGACCAAATTATGCTTAATTGTTTTTAAAGCCCGATATAATAATTCTAAGTTTTTTGTTCTTCAATTTGAGGCTTCTGGGGTTTAAAACTCTTTTTTTTAAGTTTGAGTAGAGGAAGTTACTTCTTCTAGAAGAAGTCACACTGATTTAAATTAATATAAATACTGGTATAAAAATCTAAATTAATATGTACAAAACCTTTCTGGGAACCATTGCATACTGATAAAATATCAAATGCTATTGAACCGATATGGTTTCAAGAATCAAAACGCTTTCATCTATCTTTTATATTTAGCTATAATGTCATTTTTCATTTATACAGTGAAAACCGACTTTTTTCACTAAAAAACCGGTTTTCGAATTCCCTAATTTTCGCCAAAAAACCGGTTTTTGAAAACCGACAAACCCTATCCAAGACTCACGAATATGGTTCTTTTCCCAGATAAAGTGAAGAGAGGCTGCACCGACACCTACAAATGCGATAAGGAAACTTGTCTGGAATGCGAGGAAGAGATTTGCACGAGCGAAATGTGCTATGCGTAAATTGTTTAAATAATTTTTGCAATTTTTAAGTGAGTTTTAAATAAAATTTATCAATTAAATATTGAGTTTTATTTATATAAATCTAAAATAGCATGAGGTAATATTTAACTTCCCGTAGGGTAGTTATAGTAATGGACCGAAAATAGAAAATGAAAATTTTTGCATTTCTCGACGTTTTGAAGATTTCTGAACATTTTACTGACATACCTCAGAAAAAATGAATGTGTGTGTGTGCGTGTGTTTTGTATGTCCGCATTTTGTCGTTCACGTTTTCGGGCGCACGGATCAACCGATTTGAATGGTTTGAAAAACATTAGATTCCTATTATTAGGGAGATGTGCTGATTAGTTTTTGGCAAAGGCAGGTCCAGCCGTTGCGGAGATAGGGAGCAAAGAGTGCAGAAAATAGAAATCGATTTTTTGAGATAACGAATCATCCAATTTGTATGATCCAAAAAACATTCAGTTCGTAATGACGAGGAAAAGTGGTTATTAGTTTTTGGCAAAGGTAGGCCCAGCGGTTTCGGAGATACCGAGCTAAATATTAAAAAAATGGCAGTTTTTGAGAGCCAAAAATGATCATTAGACATGTACATCGTATTATCAGATATTTTATGAAGATTATAATGAAAAGTACAATTTAAATGGGTTCCGTACCAATGTAAGTTAGACGACTACGCGGCGCTTACGCGCTTTGATATTTCGACTCTAAATCAGCTATGCAGCGTGCTAAAAAAATGTTCAAAATCTTCAAAAAAAAATCTCAATATTAAAAAAATCAAATTTTTTAAAAAAGTAAAATATTTTTAAAAAAATCAAAATTTCTTAAATATCTAATTTTTTCAAAGTTTTGCGAAGTTTTGTTCAATAATTTAGTTTTCGGTACGAGAGGTTCTAGCGATTTGCCTTAAGCCACGATACCATTCATCACTAGTTTTATTATATTTTTATTTTTGTTTTTTAATTAAACGTTTTAGCAATCTTGTAATTTTATAAAAATTGCAAAATAATTTTCAGAACTTGTCTAAAGTACTCAATGATGACACACATACAGTGTACATAAACCTGCATAATATATGGTTAAATATTAATTGCTTTTTATTTCGACTAGGCTGCAAATAAACAATTCAAGAATATTATATATATATATATATATATATATATATATATGTATACATAATATATATATATATGTATATATATATTAGGGTGGTCCTTAAAATGGTCATTTTCGAATTTCCTTGCTCCCAGGGGCTCATATGGTTCCAAATTGATAAAAAACAATTCTCTGAAAGTTTTAGCTCTTAATATTAACGTTTAGATAGAGCGCAATTCAATCAAAGTTTTGTATGGAAATAGCATGGAAAATTTTTCAAAAATTGTAAAAATGTTTTTTAGATGTAATTTAGCGAACAAATGGATGAATAAAACTCATTCATTTGTCGCTAAGTTATACTTAACACATTTTTTTTAAATTTTCAAAATTTTTTCCATGCTCTTTCCATACAAACTTTGATTGAATTGCGCTCTATCTAAACGTTAATATTAAGAGCTAAAACTTTCAGAGAATTGTTTTTTATCAATTTGGAACCATTTGAGCCCCTGGGAGCAAGGAAAATCGACAATGACTATTTTAAGGACCACCCTAATATATATATATATATATATATATATATATACATATATATATATATCTAATTTTTTCCGCTTCTGCGCAATCGGGCAACACTCTCCTCTCTCAACAAACAGAAGCTGCCCTCACTAAGTAAGTCGTCAGACTGTCTCGCGACGGGACGCATTTTCCGAAAATCCCAAATTTTGTTAAAAAAATTTAACAAATACGATATTGTTTAAATGCAGAAAAATTCTTTAAAGTTCATTTTAAATATTAAAAATATTAAACTAAATATTGGTTCATAAATGAGAGTGTAAATAAATAACTCGTACATATGTTGTGTAGTGATAAAGTATAATCTGTTAATGTAAATAAATAATTCGTAAGGGTAAATATTATATTAAATATATATATATATATATATATATATATATATATATTTATATATATATACATATATACAAAATATTTATTTAACATTTTATTTATATTAATAATTTATTTTATATTATTTTATTTATATGTAAATTGTTTTGTCAGTATTATACATATATTTTTATAAATTTCTCATAAATTTCTTAAGAGAAAAATCTTATCAGAAAATAGCCAAATTTTGATTTGACTACACAATTTATATTAATAATTTATTTTATATTTTATTTATATGTAAATTGTTTTCTTAAATTAATATAAGAGAAAAATTTTATCAGAGAATAGCCATATTTTGATTTTCGTTTTAAAAATTCATGATTTAAATTATCAACGTTTTTTTAGATAAATTGTTGTAAGAAATATTTTTGTAGGAATATTAAGTATTTTTTATGAAATATCAGTCGATTGATATTTTTTATATAATTTTGTATATTTTAATTAGGAAATAAAAAAAACTAAAAAAATACAAAAACAGATAATTTCTATTAGAAATCTTAGATGACATAAAATATATATTCAAACAAATATTTTTTTGCAATTTAATTATAGTTCCTAAAAAAAGCCTCAAATGAAATTTAAAAAAAATTAAATTTGAATCTTGGAGTTACAAAAATTAAATTAAATTATATTTATTACACATTTTGATTAATAATTTGAAGTAATTCATATTTGTATGTTTATTTTATGTATGTTATAATTTAGTTTCATTTTATTTTATTTAATTCTCACATTATTACCTAAATTGTTTTTTATTTATATTATATTATATATATATATATATATATATATATATATATAATACAATCAGCCGATATTGAAATAAAATTATAATAATAAATATAAATATAAATATAATTTAAAAATATTTATCAATTAATAAGAAATTAAGCTGTGTTTAAAAATCAAAAGAAAAACTTTATACACAGAAAAAAGTGCAAACAGGTTTGAATATACAAAGTGTATATTTCAGTGTTTTATATATATATATATATATATATATATATATCTATATAAATATTTGCTGCTGAGTGTTCTGTACAAGCTTATAAAAATATGTATTTTGTTTATAATTATTTTCAATATATCTTTCGATGTTAAATTATATATATATATATATATATATATAAATTATATATATATATATATATATGTATATATATGTATATATATATATATATATACATATATATATATATATATATAATTTATATATTTAATTTATGTCGCTTTATATTTTATGCTTCTGAATGTATCTATGTAATCTTCTTGGAAATATATTTCTCTAAAGCTATATCTGTCTTTTATTCATTGTCTATTTTTTTTTGTTATTAAATGTATTGTGCAAATGTTAAATGTTTATTTATCTATATTTTATTAATTAATTAATTAAATTATATTAACAGCAAAAATGTAAAAAAATATAAGCTACGTTTTTATTTAAAGAATGTAGTTCGATGAAAGAAGATTCTGCAAAACTTCAACTAAAATCTTCTTGTAAATTTGTTTTTTATTCAATATTATATTTATATTTCTTTTATTCCAAATGGATTTTGTAAATGTTAAATGTTTATTATCTACTTAAATTTTTATTTCATTAATTAAATTTAATAAATGCTAAAATTTAAAAATAATAGCTATATTTTTTATTAACACTTGAATAAAATAAAATTCGGCAAAACTTCCAAGTCAACTTTAATTTTTTCCAAACATATATATGTCTTTTGTTTTTAATTTATTGTGTAAATGTTAAACGTCTATTTTTACCCAGAAACACATTAAATGTATGCAAAATTGCAAAATATTAACAAGCGGTGTATGGCATCGTGCCTTAAGGCAAATTGCTGGAACTTCCCGTACCGTAATGAAATATTCGACAAATTTTAAACGTTATCAAATATATTATTACAAATACTGTAACTCTCATTATTTTTGCTATCTTGTTATGCCCGAGCAAATCAAATGTAAATCATAAATTAATTTATCTCCAGAACATTAACAATCGTCATTTCATTTCGATTTCAAATTCAAAAAAATATCTAAGTTGCCTAATTTACACGAAATTGTAAAAGTGCTCCCGTATAGTCACAGTCTAAACGCATTTGCAAATAATTCTGTGCGACATTTTTACTCATACTGTGTATAACTTGGCGGCATTTTCACATTTTTCAATAGTTTTCACAAAATTCAAAAAGTGCTCCAATACATGAACAGTCTAAGGGCAGTCGGGTAAACATTTGTACCGGAGTGGCGCTTAGACTGTGCTTAGCTTGGGTGATTTTTTGAATTTTTAATGCAAAAATACAAAAATATTTTATGGAAAATAAAAAATGATGTAATAACTTTTTATCCCCAAAAGCAATTGTTTTGTCAATACAAGCAGAAAGTTTTTTTAGATCTTAGACGCTTAGTGTACTCAAAAACTGCCATTTTTTACACATTCTGCTCGGTATCTCCAAAATGGCGGGACCTGCCTTTGCCAAAAACTAATCATCTCTTCTCCCAATCATTACAAATTGAATGTTTTTTAGATCATTCAAATCCGATACTCCGTTCTCTCAAAAACTTGATTTGTATTTTATGCACTCTTTGCCCCGTATCTCCGAAACGGATGGACCTGCAAAAACTAATCAGCACATCTCCCTATCAATAGGAATCGAATGGTTTTTGAACCATTCAAATCGGTTAATCCGTGCGCCCGAAAACGTGGACGAAAAATTGTATCCATAAACACATGCATTTTTTCTAAGGTATGGTAAAATGTTCAGAAACCTTCAAAACGTGAAGATATGCAAAAATTTTCATTTTCGATTCTTGGCCCATAAGTTTGCTCGTCAGTACCATTCTCTTCTCTCGCAATTTTTGTTCTAATCTTTTTCCTTGACTTTTGCATTAAATATTTATTCATGTGATATATGTATTTGCCTTGTTTCGTTTCCATTTTTATTCGAGTCTTGTGTAAATACGTATATTTATTTAGGGATGTATTTTTTCCGGCAGATTCCGCAGAAAAGAA